TTCCTATTTTACATGGTCAGTCCTTTCTACCAAGGAAATAGAGAAAAAACTTTTGATGAAGACATTTGTTATTCTTTAAATGTCTAAATGAAAATTTTCTTTCAAATATTTACGTAGTATAGTATTGCATTTAACTATTCGCATTTAGTATCAAAAGATGTGGTAATTTTGGAAACGTTCATATTTGCTATGGTACTTTGGAAGACCTTGGTCGAATCTATCAAAAAAAACATTTTTTACGCTGTTCATAAGTCAGATTTGATTGATAAGAGTGCTTTTGTATGCTATAATTTATTCGCGAAAGATCGTCATATAGACGTTATTTTTTTACTGTTTAATGACAATTTTTCTGGTAACATCAATCGATACATTTCTAGTTATCGAAAAAGAAAAGCATCTACTACTTCATCGGGTCGCATATTTTCTTTCTTTTCTTTCCTCGTCTTATGTCTTACCGTTAGGTTTTGTATTTTATTAATTGATTTTCTTTCGATAAATATTATGTAAATTTTCTTTCAAGATTCAATTTCATGGCTCATCATACCCATCCGTTATAAAAAAAATAACAAAAAACGACGTTAGATAAATAACAAGTTCCATTTTATATTCTTTTGCTGACAGTGATACAGATAGTTTAAATCAAAAATATTGTTTTGATGAAAATAAATAATTTGATTTAAGATTACCTGGTTGTGGAAGACTAGTAAAGAAACTCACCTGGAAAATTTTTTTATATACATTTATTTATAACGCTATACTGAAGAGACGGTGATGCTATTCGATTGAAGAAATACTTGATTAGTAGCTACTCAAATTGTATTTTATAATTACGATATTAACTTTGTATCTATTAGAGTATGATAGACTATGATAGTATAAAGATGAGAGGTGCTATCGACTCAGTATCATTATGTAACATTTTTTGAATGGACAACGACGGTAGAGTCAAGCCTATTGAATTTTTTTACTTTCGACGATGGCAACGAGAAGTTTTAAAACAATTGATTAGGATCGCCGGCGTGACTATTATGTCTGTTCGAGGTGCGGTGTGATTTAGTCTGTTTTAAGAATGAACCTGAATCTTTATTATGCCATCTATCATCTATTCCCTCGTTTTCTATATGCTCATCACTCGTGTGTACGTGCATTCTTCTTCGCATTCTACTAGGATCATATATTTAGATAATAGGTCACCCCATCACCGTTTCTTCTTTTTCTGTTTCCTTTTTTAATGTATTCGGAGTCTCTATCTTTCTCTTGTCTTTATTTCATGTGGTAGTATAATTGTAGACTCAACAACATTTCTTCTCTGTACTAATCTTCATGTGTTGAATTCAATGATCAGCGAGTTTAGATGAGTAGTATTCTTCTTTTCTCCCTTTTTTTTGTTCTATTGTGGTTGATTTAAGATATATCTATCAACATTTGTGCTATTATAGATTAAAACAAAAAAAAGAAACGAACTCTTTAGTTTTAATCAAAAAAAACAAGAAATATACGTGTTGTGTTCAGATACAAAAAGAAAAGCCATTTACATCAATACAGTGACTGTACGACGACTTTTGTAATGCCAACGATATTAGCACTTCATTTAGTAAGCATTTTTTTTACGATTTTCTTTTTCAACGGGTAAATAACAGTGAAATATGATTGTCAAAATATCTATCTACTAGTCGATTTTCGTACGTGACAGAATACAAAATGTTTTTATGATTAAAGTAGAAGAATATGTTGCTAGTGGCAGACGCAGTCAAACGAGACATTAAATATTTGAGAATTAATGAGGAAAACATAAAAGACAATTAGTTCTTTTTTTCTAATTTAAAGAAAAGAAGAGATGGGTCAACCGGAACGACTGCTAGTTTCTATGGAAATAATGTGCATACATGTAAATAAATGATAGTCGCTGTTTGTTTCCAATTATTCTTTAGATAACCATTCTTAATTCCGTGTGAGGATGTAAAATATTTCTTTTTCTGTTTTTTTTTCATCCATTGTTATATTATACATTTGTCGAATAGTAGAATCAAAACGCTCATTAATATCGAAAATTTGAACAGACCATACACACACAACATAGTCATATGCAAACATGCTGATGTTTTACTATTCCCAAGCAAATCAGGTAAAGTTTTATCGAGAGAATTGTATGAGAAATCACTTACCCTAGTTAATCATATTTGCTTTTTTCTATTCAAAAAATTAATATACTCACAAAATAACCTCGATTTATTAAAACATTTAGTTTGATTATGATTCATTTCTTTCTTTCATGTTGCTGAATACGTATGGGTTTCAGAGTAAATACTGACTCAATGTAATATTAAAATTTCTGACTGATGTGAAGAAGAAACGTAAATAAATCAGACTGATTTAGTTTCGGAAAATCCTAACTGGGGCATCATTTCAACCCCCCCCCCATTCTTTCAAAAAATTTTGCTCTGATTTACTCCGATTTTATGATTTAACCCCCCATGCTCCGGACCTCTTCGCACCGCCACTGCATACTTGATCCACAGTATCCATCTCGTATATTCTTCAGCCATGGATGAGAAAAGTTCAAAATGTGATTGACATCTATAATTATTATAATTCAGGCATAGACTTATAAAATTAAGTTTTCTCTGTCAAAGACTTATGAGTTTTTAGGCATTCAAAAAAGAAAGGCTAATATATGAATGAAGAACGGCTCAGTCAATAGAATAGCCTTGAGTTTTTTAATTTGTTTAGCCGTGTGTGCGAAACATCATTGCACACGAGTTCGGAAGAAAATTTCTTTTAAAATTTATACTTTCAAGCGAGAAAAAAGGATGACTCTCCTGAAGTCTCAAGATGATCAGCCTCCTATGTTCTTTATTAATTGTTTTAACAAGTATATAGTCTTGCCTGCTCAGGTCAAGCAATCCTACTAGAATCCCACTGATAATAGAATGATGTAAGTTGTTTGATCTAAAACCGTTTGTTGTTATTAACACGGTCTGTTGAAATGACCTGAGTTGGATTAAAATACTCCTTTTGTATGAGTTGAATTCAAACTTGCTCTCTTTGTTTTCGTAGTAGTAAAATAGTTTAAAATGAGTCTGACGATTAAAATACCTATTGGTGATTCTGTGAAATATATTCTGCTGAGGATAAAAACAAGTTTTTTTCTATTATCAAAGGAGATCACTCTCAGAGGCTATTATATGTCACGATAACTCTATTTAAACCGTTAGATACAAAAAGAGAAAACCTCTTATAACAACATTTTTTTCGTATTCCTTTCCTTTCTTCTTCTTTGCATAGATATCCTGATTCTATCTAATGCTATTCACATTACTTAATCGACTGTAGAGAAAGAGGGTTTGCCAAAGGTTAAGTAATCGTTTAAAAACCCGTTTCCGGCTGCTGTTATTAAGAAAAAGTTAAGATACATCAGGAAGAAATGTTAGAAGCAAACCGTTAAAATCAAAGTGAAAAATAAAAAACTACGTTACTTTTGGAGTCCTGCTTCTCGTTCTTACTCGGTATCTGTAATCGGATGATCGATGACCGTTAAAAACATGATTTTAGTCGATTAGATGCCTACTCATCGCCACATAAAAGAAACATATCTCGGATTAAGAAATGTCAGAATACCTTGGCAATTTTGAAGTCGGGGTGAACTTTAAAAACTTTTAAAAATAGTTCGACGCTCTGATTATTATTTGAATGCATCCTTTTAATGGTCATCAGTGCGTGGTACTGACTCTTCTCTTTACTTCTGCTCTTGACATGTGTAGACCATCGATAAACCACTGTGGATAAAAATCTGACGAGTTCTTAACACGTGTACTACACAAGAATTATAGTTTTGTTTAAAAGTTTTTCTGATTAATTATTAGCGACTTTATAGTTAAAATGTAAAAGATATTTCGGCGTAATGTGTCTAATGATAAGAGCCAGTATCACTTTCAACGTGTCTTAACATAAGTAAAATTGCATCGGAACTCTGTGTTTCTGACTGAGAGAGAAAATGATTGTAAAAAATACATTTTTGCACATTGTTTTTATTACTTTGAGCCGAACTTCCAATCTAAATTATAAAGTCATCATCGTAGTTTAGGTAAACAGAAAGAAGGAAGAAGAAACGACAAACATACGGCACATTTTGGATGTTGTAGTTTATACCGTTTATAACATTCTATTCGAATGTCATATAGATTCATGAAACATCTCATGCTGATGAGAAAAGTCTAGAGATCCGTACAATTCAAAACATAATTTATCAGTCGAATCAAGACGAATATTAAAATTTTTATAAATCTTCTTTTGCAAAATCCCTGTAAAACCCCTGAAGATTGGTTAACCGACATAGATTCAGAGAGGAGACACGACGGGGAGATCTAATAACCTAATAAGCTGAAGTGACATTGGCTGCTATGGTGTCTTATCAGAAAAATTGTTTTGTTATTTAAATGCTAGTTTTAATTGTAAAATTGCTTAAGGACTTTCAAACAGTTTATCTTTCGACTTTTAGGTAGCCTAAATTAATCTAAGATAGGATTATTCCAATTTGGATGTGAGAAACAATATAAAAAGTTATTTGAATAAGTAAAGAAGGAAGTTTGCTTCAAAATACCGATGGATTCATGGCAATATATTCGATGTTCTAGTTTCAGATTTTTCTTCTCGGAAAGATTAGAGTTATCTTTCTGTTGTTCTGTTTTTAAAAATAGTAACTCTTTAAATAATAGTAGTAACTCGTTAAATAATTTTTCTTTGTTGTTTTTGTCTTTCATCATACATATAAACCTATTAACTTTTGACTGTACCGCACCGTACCGTACTGCCTAGACATGTGTTTTCTTCGTCTTTCTCTCATATGAACATATATATATACCAAGTATTATGTACAATATGTGACAGAATTGCACGTGTCTCTTTTTTTTTGTTATTATTTTTCTCCCTCTATAAGATTATCTTTTCATTTCTATTAACATTAGTCTAGTGTGACGTAGTAAACTTTTCAAGGATAAAATATGGAACACTATAGTCATTTACCAAATTGTCCTAATCGTAATAGTCCAACGCTTTGGGTAATTAAAACTGCATGTAGTTGTCAATCAGCAGTACCATTATCTCCACGACAATCTCCACAAAAACAAACAACTCAGTCGCAGTTGCCAACTACAATGTTACCTCCAAAACAACCTAAAACTATTCAACAAAAAGCAGTTTTACATGCAGCGGCAACAAAAGCCAAAACTCTCCCTGAATTATCTCATCCTCTACAGAGACGAAACTCAGCTGATTGTGCATCACAAGAGCAACAACCCCAAGCATATCGAGAAGAAGAAAAAAGACGATCATCTTTATCCAATTCACTACCACCAATTTTAGAACATAGCAGTGAAAACAACAATCGATTATCACCTCCAATCTCACCTTCACAAGGTCAACGTTCTGCTGGCACTGTTTTTCCACCAGAAGCTATTTTCAGTATATACGAACAGCGTTACAGTCAAGCACAACAACAACTTCAACTCGAACTTCATCGTCCATCCGGTTTTCTTAATATTGAATCGATCTCCAATCATAGACAACACGATACTAATAGGATTACACAATTAATTCAGTACCCCTACGCCTCGTATCAACAAGAATGTTCTACTCCTCCTTCTTCACCACAGCAACAAAGAAAACACCAACATCACCTAATTTCGACACAAGTGGTAAGGCAATTAATTTTTTACAATGCATTACCTTCTGTTACAAACTAATTCTAAAATCATGTAAACTCGCTTTTCAATCATCATGAGTAAAGTAAAAATCGATGATCTAGGTGAGAACTACATCATTCATTTTATTTTTCCTTTGAATTTTTACACTATATTTTCAGCGTAGTCTCTTTTGTGTTGGAATTCTATCTATTCCCTTATGTTGGAGTATTATGTTCTAATTCTTCCGAGAATATTTGCTTTTCGAATTTATACTAAAATCATCTCAATTTTTACTCTTGCTCTTTTCGTTATTTGTAAATCTTGTGAAGCAATGAAGTTCTGTGTCGAATGCAGATTAGGGTACAAAATAAAACCTTACAATACTATGTAGATGACTATTGTGCTTTGACATAGAAAAAGCGTGTCATCAAATTGCTTTCTTTGTTATAATTTGAGCGACGTTCTTTGTTTCAATTGATCCTTATTATAAGTATGTGTTGATAGTACTTCTAATTCATTTGTTTATAGTATCATTTGTTAAAGATCTTTAGTAGACATGGTTTTTCGTGTTGAATTAGAAAATGTTTTATTTGTTAAAAATTTAAATATTTCTTTTCACAGTGATCATGTACTTTTTTTCTTTGTCTAGGCAGTTAACTCTATCTTTTCTTCTTACCTTTCTCTATTTCAACATTCTATACATCCCCCTATGTGTGTTTGTTATTTGTAAAATCACACACAGAGTAGACGAAGAGCAAATTAAGTTCAGTATATCTTATTTTGTTTAACATTGGCTTTATGGATCGCGCATCCAGTTACATGGTCATCATCAATTTACCTTATTACAGTGCATACCTTCTTATGTTGAGAGAGAAAAGAGAAAGATACAAATAATAATCTTTTTTTTTTCATCATTCCTCTTTGTTTATACATCATTCAGAAGTTCTCGGATTTTGTTTTTTTCTTTTCTTTTTTTTTAAATATAGAGACGAGAGTATAACGAGTTTAATATGAACTATACATAGAGGTCTACACGAAGAAAATTAATATAATAGTGTTATGAGGTGGTCATTGCATGTTGTTCATGAACGAGAGATCGGCACTTTGCTATTACAAAAAGAAAAGAAAAAATAAAAAGAACTTTTGTAGGTGTGTGCGAGTGTGATAAAAAAATTTATATAGAAAACGAGATTTTATTCATTTATTTCGATATAGAAACTGTTTGCATCTCGGATGATTTGATTGTAACGAACAAAGTAAAAGGTGAGTTAGACAATAAAATTCGAAAAAATTAAATGAATAAAAACTATTTCATTTAAAATGCGAAACAGTAGTTTTATTAGTAGAAGATTACAACTCAACATTTTGATTTTTAGTTTGAGTATTTCAGAGATCTGGAAAATGCCTGCTTATTATTACAGTTACGTACGTATCATATGCTCTTATTCTTCTTGTTTTTGTAAGAAACTAGTTGTAAAAATGTATGAGAGTACGAATATTTGCGTTAATTTTGATTGCGCTTTTATAGCCATCTATAATAAGTAGTTTTGATAAAAAAAATGTTTAAATATTAAAATCAGTTATAATGATTTCTTAATGTATAAATGTGTATGTGTATGCGCACACTGTGTAGTAAAAAAAAACTGTCGTGTAGATGGTATGGTGCAATATGGACGATTAAGAAACCTAAACAGAAGAAAAAGACTGAAATGTAGCAGAAATTTTGTTGTTCTCTTATACACTTATCGATAGAAATAATAATTATTAGTTCGATCATTGTAGAATACCAATATTGTTTAAGTTGCCATTTATTTGAACTTTTATTATTTATTTTTTTTTGATAATTTCGAAGACAAATGGTCATACATATTAATTTCTTTATTATTGTTCTGTATAATTACCTCCAGTGAATCAAACAATTGTATCTTGTTAATTTTCCTTTGTTCTTCTGGCTATTCCCTCGTTTTCTATATGCTCATCACTCGTGTGTACGTGCATTCTTCTTCGCATTCTACTAGGATCATATATTTAGATAATAGGTCACCCCATCACCGTTTCTTCTTTTTCTGTTTCCTTTTTTAATGTATTCGGAGTCTCTATCTTTCTCTTGTCTTTATTTCATGTGGTAGTATAATTGTAGACTCAACAACATTTCTTCTCTGTACTAATCTTCATGTGTTGAATTCAATGATCAGCGAGTTTAGATGAGTAGTATTCTTCTTTTCTCCCTTTTTTTTGTTCTATTGTGGTTGATTTAAGATATATCTATCAACATTTGTGCTATTATAGATTAAAACAAAAAAAAGAAACGAACTCTTTAGTTTTAATCAAAAAAAACAAGAAATATACGTGTTGTGTTCAGATACAAAAAGAAAAGCCATTTACATCAATACAGTGACTGTACGACGACTTTTGTAATGCCAACGATATTAGCACTTCATTTAGTAAGCATTTTTTTTACGATTTTCTTTTTCAACGGGTAAATAACAGTGAAATATGATTGTCAAAATATCTATCTACTAGTCGATTTTCGTACGTGACAGAATACAAAATGTTTTTATGATTAAAGTAGAAGAATATGTTGCTAGTGGCAGACGCAGTCAAACGAGACATTAAATATTTGAGAATTAATGAGGAAAACATAAAAGACAATTAGTTCTTTTTTTCTAATTTAAAGAAAAGAAGAGATGGGTCAACCGGAACGACTGCTAGTTTCTATGGAAATAATGTGCATACATGTAAATAAATGATAGTCGCTGTTTGTTTCCAATTATTCTTTAGATAACCATTCTTAATTCCGTGTGAGGATGTAAAATATTTCTTTTTCTGTTTTTTTTTCATCCATTGTTATATTATACATTTGTCGAATAGTAGAATCAAAACGCTCATTAATATCGAAAATTTGAACAGACCATACACACACAACATAGTCATATGCAAACATGCTGATGTTTTACTATTCCCAAGCAAATCAGGTAAAGTTTTATCGAGAGAATTGTATGAGAAATCACTTACCCTAGTTAATCATATTTGCTTTTTTCTATTCAAAAAATTAATATACTCACAAAATAACCTCGATTTATTAAAACATTTAGTTTGATTATGATTCATTTCTTTCTTTCATGTTGCTGAATACGTATGGGTTTCAGAGTAAATACTGACTCAATGTAATATTAAAATTTCTGACTGATGTGAAGAAGAAACGTAAATAAATCAGACTGATTTAGTTTCGGAAAATCCTAACTGGGGCATCATTTCAACCCCCCCCCCATTCTTTCAAAAAATTTTGCTCTGATTTACTCCGATTTTATGATTTAACCCCCCATGCTCCGGACCTCTTCGCACCGCCACTGCATACTTGATCCACAGTATCCATCTCGTATATTCTTCAGCCATGGATGAGAAAAGTTCAAAATGTGATTGACATCTATAATTATTATAATTCAGGCATAGACTTATAAAATTAAGTTTTCTCTGTCAAAGACTTATGAGTTTTTAGGCATTCAAAAAAGAAAGGCTAATATATGAATGAAGAACGGCTCAGTCAATAGAATAGCCTTGAGTTTTTTAATTTGTTTAGCCGTGTGTGCGAAACATCATTGCACACGAGTTCGGAAGAAAATTTCTTTTAAAATTTATACTTTCAAGCGAGAAAAAAGGATGACTCTCCTGAAGTCTCAAGATGATCAGCCTCCTATGTTCTTTATTAATTGTTTTAACAAGTATATAGTCTTGCCTGCTCAGGTCAAGCAATCCTACTAGAATCCCACTGATAATAGAATGATGTAAGTTGTTTGATCTAAAACCGTTTGTTGTTATTAACACGGTCTGTTGAAATGACCTGAGTTGGATTAAAATACTCCTTTTGTATGAGTTGAATTCAAACTTGCTCTCTTTGTTTTCGTAGTAGTAAAATAGTTTAAAATGAGTCTGACGATTAAAATACCTATTGGTGATTCTGTGAAATATATTCTGCTGAGGATAAAAACAAGTTTTTTTCTATTATCAAAGGAGATCACTCTCAGAGGCTATTATATGTCACGATAACTCTATTTAAACCGTTAGATACAAAAAGAGAAAACCTCTTATAACAACATTTTTTTCGTATTCCTTTCCTTTCTTCTTCTTTGCATAGATATCCTGATTCTATCTAATGCTATTCACATTACTTAATCGACTGTAGAGAAAGAGGGTTTGCCAAAGGTTAAGTAATCGTTTAAAAACCCGTTTCCGGCTGCTGTTATTAAGAAAAAGTTAAGATACATCAGGAAGAAATGTTAGAAGCAAACCGTTAAAATCAAAGTGAAAAATAAAAAACTACGTTACTTTTGGAGTCCTGCTTCTCGTTCTTACTCGGTATCTGTAATCGGATGATCGATGACCGTTAAAAACATGATTTTAGTCGATTAGATGCCTACTCATCGCCACATAAAAGAAACATATCTCGGATTAAGAAATGTCAGAATACCTTGGCAATTTTGAAGTCGGGGTGAACTTTAAAAACTTTTAAAAATAGTTCGACGCTCTGATTATTATTTGAATGCATCCTTTTAATGGTCATCAGTGCGTGGTACTGACTCTTCTCTTTACTTCTGCTCTTGACATGTGTAGACCATCGATAAACCACTGTGGATAAAAATCTGACGAGTTCTTAACACGTGTACTACACAAGAATTATAGTTTTGTTTAAAAGTTTTTCTGATTAATTATTAGCGACTTTATAGTTAAAATGTAAAAGATATTTCGGCGTAATGTGTCTAATGATAAGAGCCAGTATCACTTTCAACGTGTCTTAACATAAGTAAAATTGCATCGGAACTCTGTGTTTCTGACTGAGAGAGAAAATGATTGTAAAAAATACATTTTTGCACATTGTTTTTATTACTTTGAGCCGAACTTCCAATCTAAATTATAAAGTCATCATCGTAGTTTAGGTAAACAGAAAGAAGGAAGAAGAAACGACAAACATACGGCACATTTTGGATGTTGTAGTTTATACCGTTTATAACATTCTATTCGAATGTCATATAGATTCATGAAACATCTCATGCTGATGAGAAAAGTCTAGAGATCCGTACAATTCAAAACATAATTTATCAGTCGAATCAAGACGAATATTAAAATTTTTATAAATCTTCTTTTGCAAAATCCCTGTAAAACCCCTGAAGATTGGTTAACCGACATAGATTCAGAGAGGAGACACGACGGGGAGATCTAATAACCTAATAAGCTGAAGTGACATTGGCTGCTATGGTGTCTTATCAGAAAAATTGTTTTGTTATTTAAATGCTAGTTTTAATTGTAAAATTGCTTAAGGACTTTCAAACAGTTTATCTTTCGACTTTTAGGTAGCCTAAATTAATCTAAGATAGGATTATTCCAATTTGGATGTGAGAAACAATATAAAAAGTTATTTGAATAAGTAAAGAAGGAAGTTTGCTTCAAAATACCGATGGATTCATGGCAATATATTCGATGTTCTAGTTTCAGATTTTTCTTCTCGGAAAGATTAGAGTTATCTTTCTGTTGTTCTGTTTTTAAAAATAGTAACTCTTTAAATAATAGTAGTAACTCGTTAAATAATTTTTCTTTGTTGTTTTTGTCTTTCATCATACATATAAACCTATTAACTTTTGACTGTACCGCACCGTACCGTACTGCCTAGACATGTGTTTTCTTCGTCTTTCTCTCATATGAACATATATATATACCAAGTATTATGTACAATATGTGACAGAATTGCACGTGTCTCTTTTTTTTTGTTATTATTTTTCTCCCTCTATAAGATTATCTTTTCATTTCTATTAACATTAGTCTAGTGTGACGTAGTAAACTTTTCAAGGATAAAATATGGAACACTATAGTCATTTACCAAATTGTCCTAATCGTAATAGTCCAACGCTTTGGGTAATTAAAACTGCATGTAGTTGTCAATCAGCAGTACCATTATCTCCACGACAATCTCCACAAAAACAAACAACTCAGTCGCAGTTGCCAACTACAATGTTACCTCCAAAACAACCTAAAACTATTCAACAAAAAGCAGTTTTACATGCAGCGGCAACAAAAGCCAAAACTCTCCCTGAATTATCTCATCCTCTACAGAGACGAAACTCAGCTGATTGTGCATCACAAGAGCAACAACCCCAAGCATATCGAGAAGAAGAAAAAAGACGATCATCTTTATCCAATTCACTACCACCAATTTTAGAACATAGCAGTGAAAACAACAATCGATTATCACCTCCAATCTCACCTTCACAAGGTCAACGTTCTGCTGGCACTGTTTTTCCACCAGAAGCTATTTTCAGTATATACGAACAGCGTTACAGTCAAGCACAACAACAACTTCAACTCGAACTTCATCGTCCATCCGGTTTTCTTAATATTGAATCGATCTCCAATCATAGACAACACGATACTAATAGGATTACACAATTAATTCAGTACCCCTACGCCTCGTATCAACAAGAATGTTCTACTCCTCCTTCTTCACCACAGCAACAAAGAAAACACCAACATCACCTAATTTCGACACAAGTGGTAAGGCAATTAATTTTTTACAATGCATTACCTTCTGTTACAAACTAATTCTAAAATCATGTAAACTCGCTTTTCAATCATCATGAGTAAAGTAAAAATCGATGATCTAGGTGAGAACTACATCATTCATTTTATTTTTCCTTTGAATTTTTACACTATATTTTCAGCGTAGTCTCTTTTGTGTTGGAATTCTATCTATTCCCTTATGTTGGAGTATTATGTTCTAATTCTTCCGAGAATATTTGCTTTTCGAATTTATACTAAAATCATCTCAATTTTTACTCTTGCTCTTTTCGTTATTTGTAAATCTTGTGAAGCAATGAAGTTCTGTGTCGAATGCAGATTAGGGTACAAAATAAAACCTTACAATACTATGTAGATGACTATTGTGCTTTGACATAGAAAAAGCGTGTCATCAAATTGCTTTCTTTGTTATAATTTGAGCGACGTTCTTTGTTTCAATTGATCCTTATTATAAGTATGTGTTGATAGTACTTCTAATTCATTTGTTTATAGTATCATTTGTTAAAGATCTTTAGTAGACATGGTTTTTCGTGTTGAATTAGAAAATGTTTTATTTGTTAAAAATTTAAATATTTCTTTTCACAGTGATCATGTACTTTTTTTCTTTGTCTAGGCAGTTAACTCTATCTTTTCTTCTTACCTTTCTCTATTTCAACATTCTATACATCCCCCTATGTGTGTTTGTTATTTGTAAAATCACACACAGAGTAGACGAAGAGCAAATTAAGTTCAGTATATCTTATTTTGTTTAACATTGGCTTTATGGATCGCGCATCCAGTTACATGGTCATCATCAATTTACCTTATTACAGTGCATACCTTCTTATGTTGAGAGAGAAAAGAGAAAGATACAAATAATAATCTTTTTTTTTTCATCATTCCTCTTTGTTTATACATCATTCAGAAGTTCTCGGATTTTGTTTTTTTCTTTTCTTTTTTTTTAAATATAGAGACGAGAGTATAACGAGTTTAATATGAACTATACATAGAGGTCTACACGAAGAAAATTAATATAATAGTGTTATGAGGTGGTCATTGCATGTTGTTCATGAACGAGAGATCGGCACTTTGCTATTACAAAAAGAAAAGAAAAAATAAAAAGAACTTTTGTAGGTGTGTGCGAGTGTGATAAAAAAATTTATATAGAAAACGAGATTTTATTCATTTATTTCGATATAGAAACTGTTTGCATCTCGGATGATTTGATTGTAACGAACAAAGTAAAAGGTGAGTTAGACAATAAAATTCGAAAAAATTAAATGAATAAAAACTATTTCATTTAAAATGCGAAACAGTAGTTTTATTAGTAGAAGATTACAACTCAACATTTTGATTTTTAGTTTGAGTATTTCAGAGATCTGGAAAATGCCTGCTTATTATTACAGTTACGTACGTATCATATGCTCTTATTCTTCTTGTTTTTGTAAGAAACTAGTTGTAAAAATGTATGAGAGTACGAATATTTGCGTTAATTTTGATTGCGCTTTTATAGCCATCTATAATAAGTAGTTTTGATAAAAAAAATGTTTAAATATTAAAATCAGTTATAATGATTTCTTAATGTATAAATGTGTATGTGTATGCGCACACTGTGTAGTAAAAAAAAACTGTCGTGTAGATGGTATGGTGCAATATGGACGATTAAGAAACCTAAACAGAAGAAAAAGACTGAAATGTAGCAGAAATTTTGTTGTTCTCTTATACACTTATCGATAGAAATAATAATTATTAGTTCGATCATTGTAGAATACCAATATTGTTTAAGTTGCCATTTATTTGAACTTTTATTATTTATTTTTTTTTGATAATTTCGAAGACAAATGGTCATACATATTAATTTCTTTATTATTGTTCTGTATAATTACCTCCAGTGAATCAAACAATTGTATCTTGTTAATTTTCCTTTGTTCTTCTGGCTATTTCCTATCATAATCAACAAATAAGTCTATTTGACATTTTGGTAACTGTATTGGTCTAAATCTCTATTGTTGTTATAAAAATAATTCTAAATTTTATATGAATCATATGTGTTCATTTTTCTTTTTGTTACTTGTTTCTATTAATAGATCCAAGTTGCCACCAATTGTTAATCTAATTAGATATTCACAATATCAATAAATAATTGAATAAGTAAAATTGAATTTAATAGTAAAATTTACATAATTTTCATTGATTGTTCGATGTTAAGTGAGTGAAATATAAATGATATGAAGCTGTTGATCACACATAGTCATTTATTATCTGATTTGTATTTTTCTATTTATAATCATTTACACAATTTATTATATAGGAAAATAATCTGACAATGTGATGTAACAAATTGCTTATCATTGCACTATCAGAGAGAATAAATTTTTTACAAAAATAGACTATAATTACTAGTTTTTAGTAATAAATAGAATACATTAGGGATTATTGTGTATGCCTAGGGCAAAATATTAATCAAATTAAATTTTTTTTTTTTGTATTTTCGTCTGACATAAACTATTTCTAGTTGAACAATCATGCAGGTGTACTTTATTGTATGAGAAAATGTTATATATTTCTTGTTTATTTTATCAAAATTTTCTTGTTTTTAAAAGATTTGATAATGATCCATCGTCATGTTAACATGTTTTTTCTATAAGTTGTGTTGTTAAAAATGATGTTACGTTAAGATAATTGTGATTCATTGAGTTTTTTCTATTATACTATATTTATTAATCTTTCTTAGATTTTGGTTTTTACTCTATATTTCTGGGCCACTATTTTAAATGTAAGCTATTTTAGAGGAAAAAATAATAATATTTGCACATGCTAATATGAGAGTATTATTATTAAAAAACTAAAAAATTGCTTACACACAAGCCAAATATATACAACCATACTGATTAGCATTTTTATCTAAGATATTTTTCTTAATTTGTGCACAATAGAATCTTTATTTATCTGTGGTTTATTCTAGAATCTTTCTATCTATCGATATTCCCTAACAGACAGATCTCTAATATTTATATCACTTCAACATCCCGATCAGTTTCCATGTCTAATCAATCGTTGAAAAATTAGATGAGTATATACGTTTGTTCTGGATAGATATGGACATTTTCACATTAATCATAACGCTGAAGTTTGTTTGTTATCCTTCCTTTTTCTCTTTACTCTATATTGTTGGAAAAAAAAAATTGATTACGGTCAATAGGTTTCCGTTCAATGTTGTATGTCTTTTAAGTAGCCGTTGGCTAAATGCATACAGATAATGGGTCTTTCTCTCTTTTCTATTATTTATCATTAAGAACCCTGTACATTATCGTTAATTATAATAAATTTATCAAGATATTCAACAATTTTGATGTCTATAATGGTCGTATTTCTTTTCATATAAATGATAAATGGTGTGAATAGAATAGAAAAATGACTTTATATATATTCTGGAAGGTGTGTATGTGCGTGTATAGAGAGAGAGAGAGAGAGAGATCTACTGCTGTGCAATAAAAATAATAATTATAACGGAGGGGGGAATGTTAGAGATAGAACGAGAGAATAAATTGGGTATGAGTTAGTTCTTTGATGTACAAAATTCATCAACCCCAACTAATATACTAGTGAGAAAATTAATCGTGAATGACATACAAAATTTCTCAAAGAAAAGAAAGCATACCCTGATCATCATCGGCTATCATTTCAACTGGAAATGACCATAATTCACATACATGTACTCGAAGTTTACAGAGAGAAACATTTGTCATAGTAGTTGTAACAGTCTGATAGATAAATCCTGCACTCGAATATTACGTTCATTTTCAGACGTACGTAATCGGATGTTCTTATACAATTTTTATCTTCTTCTTTTAAAGAAAAGATAATTCGTATTATCGGACAACGTAAACAACAGTGCAGTTTATTGATGTTTAAGAAATGAATAATGTTTTTACGTCTGTGGATTGTTTCTACTAGTAATGAAGCGTGGAATTACCAATCCCATTATCGTCGATGGGTTTTTGATAAATATTATTAGAGAGAGTTCAGACATATTTTAATTATTAGAAATCTGATTTTCTCAAATTTATTCTATTTTCTATACTATTTTCTCTATTGTATGGAAAATAAAATCTTACTTTCCTTTCTTTCGCTTATTTTTTAGTGACTCATTTTCTCCGAAAGAGAAATTATTTATTACTAGAATTTTTCTCATATTAACCACAACAATTCTAAAAATACTCTTCATTTTACTAAAAAAAGATTAGATTTTTGATTGTAATGACATGACAAGCGAATGGATCAATCAATGTATAAAAAGTGTTAGAGTATAATTTGAATTTCAGAAGAAACTTTTTCTTCATCTACTAGAAGATTGATAATGTTGTATATAGAGGATTCTATTTTTGAATTTTTTACCTGAAAAACATTGTTATGATAATCTCACTACCACTACTACGACTACTACTACTAGTAGCGTATGTGCACGTGCAAACAATGTCATCAGAGACTATTTTATTTTTTCGTCTATTTTGATCAACCTTGATGTTTATCTTATAAATTTCACATGTGTATATACATATATATATACGCATGTACATATATCTTTTGTTGCTTGTTTTTACTTTATTCTATATTGTCATTGTTCTTTTTCTTCGTTATATACGTAATAAACGAGAATTTTTTTCGTGTTTTTCAAAAAATAATTTGTATCTTAACTGCTCTTTTTTCACTGTAAATAATTTTTATACTGTATACAAGATGAAAATCGAAAGTGGTGTAACATTGATACATAAAATTTTCTATAATGTTTTGTTCGTCATTTCCTCATCGTAATTATTATCATTGTTATTTATTAGAATGAGAAGAGAAAAAAAAATTTATTTCTTAAAATAAAAGAAACAAATATATTTCAGCGTTTCCTTTCATTTTCTATTTCGAGGAAGAGGAAATTCGTAGATTTTTCTTTTTGATGAGATTGATGGCTGTTTAAGATCATTTGTTGGGGAAAGAGAGAAAGAAAGAGAGAGAGAGAGAGTTGAGAAAGAGAGCTGTATGTTACAGTAACGTAGTGAGTATAGAAAAAATAAAAAACAATTACACTCGTAAGAAACAACTGTTAATATAATAAATTGTTCGTCTGTACTGTGTTTTTTCTTTCTTTAACAATGGTTTGTTACAATACTCAGGTACAAACAGGAAGGTCAACTTCTTATAGTTGAAAGAAACCACTAATACTTATTAAGAGCCATACATATGACAATCGTAAGAATAGTAGGGCTTAGATCTATATAATTTTTAACTGTTAATTAACCAAGATGGCTTCATATTTACGTTTTATTCTATATTGTCATCACTACTCTAAATCTTTTTTGTTTTTTTCTTTGAAACTTGATAGATTTTTCCATGTATATATTATTATTGAGTCAATCTTGATGTTCTGAATATATATATTTTTTTTCTATTTTGCACGCTATTAGAAGCCGAATTTAGTTAATATTTTAAACTCGTGTTAGTGCTTTTTAATGTTCCGCAATTACATAAATAATGAAAGCAAAAATCAGACATGATTATAAATTTTTGCATTTGTTCTCTTTTCTACATCACAATCAAAACAAGAAGAAGAAAAAAAAAAGAAAAGAACGGTAGCACGTTGAAAAAAAAAGGAAAAAAAACGCCATGCTGAGTTGAGTGATTGGAGCATTGTTCGAACTCGAGTTGTCTGTGTATATTATCACGGAGAAAATCTATTTATTTAAAAGCCGTTCTTGATGTGATTTGATTTGTACACACACTACAATTTATCTACTATTAAAACTATGCTCTGTTACATGTCACTCATCAAAGTTTCTGTTTAATATCCCATCAAAATTTTTTTTATTTTTTTATTTTATCTGTTTTAGCAATCACAACAACAACAACAACAACAGCCACCACTACCATCATCACATCATCTTCAATCGCATTATATCAATAATACCAATAATAATTCGATTAATTCGCATAATAATCGTATTTCTGATCAATCAATGGCAGTAACAGATCCACAAGAAGCCTATATACGTTTAGCCAATTATTCAATGAAAAAATCTGAACAACTTGTTCCACATTATAATATTAGATCGCCAAAAGCATATGGTGGCTATGTGGTGAGTGTTGCTGAATTAGAATTTATAGAATAAGGCATAAACATCTGTTTAGTAAATTGAGCATACATAGCGGCGTCTTAATAAAAGTCGAAAGTTTTTATTAATTTAGCCAATTGATCTCATCGCTAATTTGTTCTCACATCATTGAAACAGATGTTGCATTTTTTTCTCTATACGCAAATGACATCTGTTTATAAAGATTGTTGATTATTTACATCTTTGATGAGAAATTATGAGATATACAACGAAGTACTTATCAATTCTATTTAGATTGAAACATGGAATTGAATGAATCATCAGATTTATAGTAAAAGTTAAATCTACATTTTTTTTTCGTAAAAATATTTTCAATGCATAATGATGATTCAACTGTTTTTTTTACTAATAATATATTGAATGACTATTTCGTTTATGAGAATAGGTTAGAAGTTAGTCATCCGTTAATCAAGCAAGATGATTTTATATTTATTCTAATACATATACACAATTATCACACTTTTTATGTTAACATTGAACGTACTAGACTATAGACATTAGACGCATACAAATTGTTTGAATTAGTTAGCTAAAAATATATGTAGTCCTTGAATTTATTCAAAAAAAAAAAAATATATATATATATATATATTTCCATCAGAAATAGTTTAATTATTGTTTGTTCTTAGTTATTGATAATGATAAAAAAAAGAAAAAAAGCGTATAGATAGATATTTGTATATTTTATATCGGACATATTTGAAGTACATTCGTTTGAATAGCAAGAGAGAAACTCTCGAACAAATGAAATAGTTCTCATCCTATTTATTTCAAGTTGTTATTGTTTTGTATCGAGTGTATTCAATACTTCAATTTTTTAGATGATAGTATTAATGGTCGATCTTCCGTTTATAATAATACACATACACATAAAAATCCTATCGCTCTCTCTCTCTCTCTATGTAATCTCCTTCCATTGTGATGATAAAAAAAAGAAGAAGAAAGAATTATGAGAAACAACAAAGACTCTATTCTTCACATCTAAGTACACATACATTTATCATACATTGAAAAAGTTTGTACACTTCTTTTTTTTCTTCTTCTCCTTCTCTTTCGTTCTGTTCTGTTCTTTTTTTTTTTTTCTCGATAAATATCAACTTAATTATTGCAATTATAAATCAAGTACATTGGTAAACAAAGAAATAAAATCCAACAAATTCAATGGAGTTTTATGCAAATATTCCTCTAGTTTTAAACAGTAAAGCACGTCAAAAAACGAAAAGAAATTGAACAAAAAACAAAGTATTTGCTTCTAAAATCTATATTTTAATCGATATTCTTAATGAATCTTTGTTTATCAAAATGCTATGCTTTGAATATAGACGAATTAGTAGTAAAAATCTATATAGTTTAATAAGACTATTCGTATAAAAAATTATCAGAAAATCTTTTTGATTTGTTATCAATAATATATTTATTCTACTAAAAAATTTATTTAACAGTTAATAATAAACTGAGAATATCAATGATTCAACTCGTTCTTTTTCATGTAGCTCTTCAAATATGTTTTATAAAATCTAATCACGAAGATTATGTATGTCTTGTATTATATATATATTTATCTTGTTGAACTTTTCATACATACACTTGAATTATTTGAAAAAAAAACATTTTATTATTCCGGTCACATATTTTTTCTTCAGGTAAAATATGTTTAAATGAATGTTAATTATCACAGTATGAAGTTTTTTTTTTTCTTCTATTTCTTGTAAAATGCACAGTGCACACTTTCTATTTATGTATGGAAATATGGGGATAAACCTTGGACAATTTCTTCTTTTTTTTTTTTATTCTAATACGTGTACACACACTTTACTTCAAATTTTGATTTTCAGTGAATAAATAACAAAAATTTACCTACCTAAAAAAATCTTCTAGTTAGACAAAATGCACTATGTTTTAGTTTAAAACGTATTTTTTACAATAAATTGGACAACACCCGTTACTATGTTTTGTTACTACTAGTCTCATATGATCGCCACGTGTCACAAAATCTCATCGATCAAGACGAATGGGGGAAAGTTAAACTGTAACTACAGGCGAGAAACCTTTATTTGAAGAGTAATTCTACGCGTGAATACAAGTGAAAAAATACCACTTAAAAATAGTCTATGGTTAGAGTTTAAACAGTACCATGTGAGAATGCATGACCGTTTTGCTATTCAACTTATTTATCTATGTGTGTATATAAGTAGTCCGTTTTCTACATCGTACTAGTTTCTAAAAATGATGAGATGAGTTGTCAAATGTGAAAGAATATGAGATCATCTTTCAACAAAATGATGTGATTAATACTATACTGTTCTGCGTCTTATCACAATATAATTTTATTTTATGTCTGTGTAGAGATATATCTGCATATACAGATAGATATATTCTATAGGATAAGAAGTGAATAAACAGACATATAGAAAAAAAACGATTTGGAGAGATGACTGACACAATACGTCTTGTATTTAGAAAGATATAGAGATACACAGAAGTCTCGTAATTGGATGATTTGAGTTAAAAATATATAGTCCAATTCTGATCGTTTAAAATAAACATTGAAAGATTGGTTTTGTTGGTTAATCTGTTATAACAAAGAACTGGAATATGTTTTGGATGAGACATAAATTTTTACTCGATTACAATACAAGTTTTATATTTTCTGAACAGAGAATTGAACTATAATATTATGGACTACTTGACAATTTTAATAGAATTGATTCATTATCTGAAATCTTGATGTTCGTTCTCATATATAAATTGTATCAAAGAATAAAGTTGTTTTAAAATCTAGTTAAATTTCATTTCCAGTTTTTTTTGATAAAGAAACAAATACATCTGAACCATTTAACTGATATTGAAATATAATGAACCAATACAGGAAGTAAAAATAAAACTTAAGTGAAAACATGCATAAACACTTTTCTCTTTTACTCTCGTCTTTTGCTTATAACCATAGACAGACATGCAAACTTTAGGATTCTGGTTTTTTTATTTTATTACTAACATCCAATAATAGTCGTGTTATGTATGTTCATACGTTGAAACATTTTTTCTCTTCAATTCGCATAAAAAATGTGTGTATGTATGTGTGTACGTCTGCAAACGAAGAATTCTCGATAACATCATAACACAAAAGCTTTTCGTTAATCAATGAACACAAGAGAATCATCTTTTGATGAAATAATTTTTTTTTTTCATTACGCGGAAATGCAATACAAAATAGAGTTTTTATAGATGAATTCAGGTTTATTGTTCAAAACTATTTTTTTTTCTTCTTTAATTTGCTTCATATCTAAAGAAAACGAAAAAAAAACCCAGAGGAAATTGTGTATATTAAACATTGATACCAATAAAATAATATAGAAAGTCTATGTTAAAACAGCATATAGAGACTTTAATCATTGATATGAAGATTATCTATCGATTTCATTCTAGTTGAATTAAATAATTTTAGCAATCGTTTAATCAGTAAGAAGAAATAAAAATATTTTGCTTACTGTTACGAATGAAGATAGATGAGAAGAAATGATTGTGTCTAACGTGTTTAATTAAAAACTAAAAATAAAACAATCGTAGTCTACAGTACTACAAATTGGTTGATAGAAACATTCATGTCAAAGATAAACACCTATATAACAATAGATCTTTGGATGTATAGATCACAGTTATTATTCAAATTTAAAATACGACGAGTTATTTATGAAGGTGAATATCTTATCTACTATAAAGAGTAATCACTTTTTGGATTATTAAGTGTCTATTAGTTAAAAAGTGTATCTGTTTAAATAATGTTAAGTGGGTTGGTGAAGATAAATAGAATAAATTTATTCATATATATATAGACAATGTGTGCATTTATTTTGTTTTCTCTTTTGTTTACGACATGTCGTTTTTTTAGCTCACAGTATGAAGTAAATTGATCTCTTCAAATGTAATTAGCACATAGAAGATAATAATAAGATCTGGTTAGTTAAATGTGTGACTATTCTACATCTTTTGCTTGTACAAGCAAAATATTATATTTTTGTCCATAAAATAACCGTTTAGAAATGACATTTCTCTTTCTCTGTCTCTCTCATTTCAAACAAAACAACAACGTCAAATGTACATATGAAGAAAGAAGCTCGAATATGCATGTTTTGTACTATTTTTTTCATCGTAATATATGAGTCGATCGACACACTGTATATTTTTTTAGCAGCATCTATTTCTTCCTATTTGATCTTTTTTTTTTCTCGGAGAATGAATAAAGAAGGAATTGTAAATGTAATGTTGCAATTTTATTTCAAATGTGTATATTACTGTTGTTGTTGTTGTATATATATATTATATTATATTATATATATAATATATATATACATATATTTATCGAGTGTTCTCTCTTCTTCCATTCCATATAGTCATAAAAAAATTCACATGTAAATATGTATTTATATAAGAATGATGGATATATGTTAGACACTTTTTTGACACTTTTACTTTTATTTTTAAAGAAAATAGTTTACACAACTTTAGTTCATCTCTTTTCAAAATTGTATATTAATTTGGTAACAGTGAGTCCTCTTGATGATAATCTCGTAATAAGGATTACTAGAAAAATTTAACACATGTTATAGTTAAATTTTCAAGTTTTGAAACCTATATTAAATTAATCGTTAAAGTTAATATTGGTTTGTATAATGGTGATTGTTGTTGTTATTGTTGTTGTTGTCTGAAGTCAGTTTATCTGTCATTATTACCATCATTCTCGAGAGAAAAAGTTCATTGTTTTTTTATTTCTTTGTCCGGACAGTTAGTAACCAGCTGTTTTACGATATCCAACTTAAAAGAAAAATAAACCTCATTTTTTTTTTCGAGCCCTATATCTTATTCACTAATAATAATAGATAAAATCAATCAATCAATTTCTGGTTAAAAGAAGCAACAACAGATATATATACATATAAACATGACACACGCACATAGAGAAGTAGAGAGATAGATAGAGCACAAAGCAAGAGAGAGAGAGAGAGAGAGAGAGAGAGAAAGAGAGAGAATGTCTAAATCTATTTTTTTGTAATAGAATCCCCATTGTATATATACTAGTTACTCTTAAGCAAATATTTAGGCCTTTATGTATGTATCGCCTGTAGAGAGCTTATTATATTGATGAGTTTTTACTACGATTATTTTTTAGTCATAAAAATAATAGTATATATACTCGTTTTTTTCTTTTCTCTACTCAAATGTATATAATCAGTACCACACATAGCAGGGTATATATTCTGTGTACGAGTTTCAATAGGGAAAAAACGGCAGCAGTAAATGAGAAGAAGAAAAAAAAGACCATCACCCACTTTTTTCTTCTTCTTCTCTTCTTCTGCTATATGTACGTATATATACATGTTCAAATTTCTCCTTTTTTTTTCCGCGAATATCGTAACATACCTCTTTTCATCATATCATGAAATAAAAGAAAAGAAAAATAAGAATCAGCAGTTAGATCTTGTGTTGCAATACTTAGGTTCGAATTAGCGTTAAAAAACAATATAGAAGAAAAAAAAATAAAAAAAAAATACTACTACTTCGTTTACGTATTTTTACTAAATATGTTTAAATAGATCTGCCAAAATGCATCCATATGACTATTTACTATATTTTCTTCTTTCTATATTATTCTCTAGATATATTATTATTATGCTATTTTATTTTTTCTAAATAATCGTTTTTGCGTGAAAATTCTTTTGTTGTTGTGTGCATCTTCCAAATAAAAATAATTATCACAATAATAATAATTCTGTCATCTTTTTTTTTTGTGTGTGTCTGTGCGCTCTTGTATATGTTTGCGTAAATGGATTGTGATGTTGTGTTAGTTGGATTAATGGACTGGAATTCTGCTACATCGAATCATCATCATCAACATCAAACAACAGGAACATCACAATTGGTTACTATACCTGATCTGTATGAAACAAGTTTACTGCTAACGGTTAGTAGAGACATTCATCCTTGACATATATTATAAAATTGTTTTTTTTTCTCTAAATTATGATATTATCTTATTATATCGAGCATTGAAACATGTAGTTTAATATGAACAAATAGTATTTACGTAGAAACCGTATATTATTTATAAAGTATCATTTCAATTGTTGAACTAATAGAGATTCCTAGTTTAAATAATAGGATTTAAATAAAATGTGTTAATTTTTTTTCCTCTCAGTAACCTATAGCAAATTTTAATCTTATTTTTCAAGTTAGATAATAGAAAAAACTTCTTTTTGTCTCTAAAAATGATCAAAATATTTCACAAAACTCGAAAGATTTTTTTTAATTTTCTCTTTGTCATTTAGTGTGTAAAAAGAGAAAATTATTTCCACTTTTGACTGTTGTCAAGAGCTTAGCAAGTTTGTTGATTTTTATATGTATGATAATCGATAAGAGAACAAATTTTTGAAGTATATCACTAGTATCATATATTATGAAGTTGAATTTGAGAATTATTATTATTTTGGTTTTCTTTTTAGTTTTTTTTTTGTTCATAGAAAAATGAATAAATAAATGAACGAAAAAAACAAAACAAAAGAATGAATAAAAACTAATATTGAATATTATATTAGTGTCATTTTTTTTTCCATAAGTTTAGTTCTGTGAATCTATAAAAAAAAAAAAATGGTTATTTTTATTATTGATGATATATGATTTTCGTGCTTGGAATAAAATACGTGTATATTGTTTAGTAATATTTGACTAAAAGGGAGAAAGAATTAGTAGTATATCGTCGATTGTCGTCACTGTCACTATAGAACAGTAATATATTTATAAGCAACAATACTGATGTGATGAATGATATTATTACATTCCAGAATCTACTACCAGACCATTATAATACATACCTATCAAAATTTTATATTATTTTTTATTTAGCAGTCACCGAATACTCAACAACATGTTTATCAAACTGATCGTTATAATGGTAATCAACTCAATAGTAATCAATCTCAACAACATTTAAGTGATACAAATTTGTACATTAAAAATTTACCACCAGAATATTCGGATAATGATTTAGCATCACTTGTCGACGGGTAATTTTAAAATAATATTTTAAAAGATCAATATATTTTTAAAATTTTTTTTTATTATAGATGTGGAAAAGTAAAATCAATGAAAGCTATTATTGATAAAACAACAAATAAATGTAAAGGATTTGGATTTATTGATTTTGAAACACACGAAGCAGCACAAAATGCTATAGCTCAATTACAAAAAAAAGGATTTACAGCACAATTGGCTAAAGTAAGAAATGGTTTAGTTTTTTACTTATATTATCCTTATAAATTTTGTAGAATATGAACACTTTTAGTTTGTTTCCTACATAAAATACTTCTGTATACTTCTAAAATTAGTTTTATCAATTATTTCAGTCATCATTTTTGTTTGTCGATCGTTTCTTTTTCTTTTTTAAAAATTTTAATGTCATCTCAGCAACAAGAACAAGATACAACAAATTTATATTTTGCTAATTTGGATCCAGAAATGAATGAGCAACATTTACGTAATGCATTAGGTCAATTTGGTACTGTTGTATCGGTAAGAATATTAAGAGATCAACAAAAACATTCAAGAGGTGTCGGATTTGCACGAATGAATACAAAACAAGAATGTGAACAAATTATAAATACATTTCATAATAAAACATTTCCAGGTAAAAAAGAAAACACTTAGTATTTATTTTTTTTTAAATAATTCTTTTATTTGTACATTTTATTCTAGATTTTCAAGCCAAACTTGTACATGTCAAATTTGCTGATGCAAGTAATAAAAATAAGAAAATGTATAAAAATGGAATGGAGGTAAATATAATACGACCATCTAATAATCTAACTCTTAATAATTTTTTCTCATTATTTTTTAGGATATGAAAAGTGGTGTGCCAATTTATAATCAATCAATTGATCCATCTCAATATGGGCCAGCTATTCTTCAACAACATCCTTATCCAATTCAAGCAACAACAGCAGCCATGTTTCAACAACATTTAAGACCACCTATTAATGTATATAATAGTATGCCATCTTATGTTCTTCCCTCACAAGTACAACAAGTTAATAATCATACGGATCCATCTTATATTCTGCCACATATGATTCAACAAGGATTACAAATAACCGGAGCTGGAACACACGGCCCTCTACATCAGTTACCTATCACATGTGTTATGACGCAACAACATCCACATTTATTTATGCAAGCACAAGATCTTTCACTTGTACCACAAGTACGTATATATCTTTAATATTTCTTTTAATATTAATATTATTTAAATCGATGTCTTATTTGTGTTTTTAGGAATATCATCATCCATCTGATTTGATTCACACTCATGAGACCGGTGTTGCATAAATTCATAGGATGGTGCCATTTTCATGTATGTAAGTATAAACTATTAAACATTTATATGAGACATAGATAAAACTGCGTTCTGATCTTTTAAAATTTTGCCTTGTGTATAGTGTCTAATGTTTTCTTTTGTCTTTTTAGAATATTAACGTCATATTATATTCATTCGATTATTACAACAATATTATACAGATGCGATGTAATAACAGTGTAGTTTATTTCTCTCTCTGTTTCTCTTTATTATTTTTGTCTCGTTTTTGTTACAAACAAAACGTTATTTGACGAAACAACGATTCATACGATGAACTAACTATAGTTTCTCGTTAGAAAGATGTATTTTTAAATAGTTCAAATTTTGTTTTCTTGATCTTTTTTCTTCGCATGGGATTGTTTGCTGGTTGATTTCGCTCCTTTGTATAAAAGAAAAAGGTCGTGCTTGCGCTCGCATGACAAAATTTTGTTTCTTATGTTTTTTTTTGTACATGTCTGAAGCATGCACACATGCAGAAATGAATGAGGTGCGACTATATTGTCTCATTGTTTCTTCTTCTTCTTCTTGTTCTTGCCGAATGGCTTTTTTTTGAAAAACAAAAGAAAGAGTCTTCTTGTTGTTGTTATTTGTTGCTGTTGTTGTTGTTGTTAAGTTTTTTTTGTATTTTTTTTGAAAAGTTCCTTGCTTTTTTTATTTCGAAGTGTGTTTGTTTGAGACATTCTTCAAATCGTTTGTTTTAATGTGTTACTGATAAAAAAAAAGGCTTAGTTCTTAGATAACAAAGTGTCCTCCTCCTCATCCAACATTCGTCGATGTGTGCCATAGAAAATGAAAGAAAGATGTATATCGTTTTTAGATTCTACCATTTTGTTTTGTTTTTTTTTTCATTTTTTTTGGAACTTTTTTGCATAAATGTCATGTGCGTGTTCAGTTGTACGTGTGCCTTCCTGCCTGCTGCTTTTCTTCTCACTTAGTGTTTCCGAATTTATGTTGTTGTCTGTTTTATTTGTTTGAGTTTGAGTGAGTGAGTGAAAGGTGAAATAAAAAGAAGAGATGAAAATAAAATAGAGAGAAGAACGTCTATTTTTTTGTTAGCTTGTTTTTGTCTCGCTCTTTGTTGGATTTTTCTTGTGTTTTTTTTTTTTTTTGATAAAAAGATAAATGAAAGTAAATATAAAAAAAATAAGATATGGGTTAGAAGTACACTATCATTACAAAAGGGTGCTTTAACATCTAATTGAACTGAAGAAAAGATTAAATATGAACGTTTCGTAATAAACAGTATCCTGTTAGTAGTAGTGATACTAGTGTCTCCGACGAACTATTCGCATCCTTTTAATTAAAATTTTACTCTGATCAAGCAGAACTCACATCTTTTCTCAGTTGTTATCGAATTTCACATAAAAAATCGAGATACGGCAGTTTTAGAACCAAAATGTATAGATGAAGTACAATGTTGAGAATAATTATTTGACGGGTTGATACTTTAATTCCGTATTTTTATGAAAATATTTAAAAATATTTAAAATTCTTTAACAAAACAAACGTTTCGACCTCTTTCATTGAGGTCTTCTTCAGTGTACGTAATAAAATGTATATAAAAAATATAGTTAAAATTCTGTTACATATCTCGCTGTCCACCGCAGCTTTAAAACTTAAGTACTTAATTTGTTTACTTAAAATACTTAAATTTTTAAAGCTGCAGTGGATAGGGAGATATGTAACAGAATTTTAACTATATTTTTTATATACATTTTATTACGTACACTGAAGAAGACCTCAATGAAAGAGGTCGAAACGTTTGTTTTGTTAAAGAAT